ACTTTAACTAATATGTCATTTTCATCATTCGGTCTCTTCTTCTTTGCTCCTCGTCACCATTTTGATTATCTTCTACTAATAGGTGTATAGCCATGTACACTAATTTGAATACAATACAATAAAATTAAAATGATGCGTTTTAATTAATCATTGGTAATAAAGCTCAAAGTTCATTCCATTATGAATTTTATCTAAAATAAGAAATTAAAAGAAAAGGAAATTAAAGTCAACAGCAGTAATGGAAGCTACAGCAGAGATGAAAGTTAAACTGTTTATGCATTAGCTTTAAAAGAAAACAATTGCAAGTACAGCCAGCAAAGCCACGCACAGAGACACAATGCTGGGAACTGCAATAAATGATGAGCTTGGGAATGAATCTGGAGGCTTATTGGTAGCCTCAACTTTGTAAGTGGTTGAATGCGTAGATACAGTGGACGAAGGCCTCACTATTGTGAATGAGTAAAGGACTTCTTGGAGAGCATCCGAATGTGCCTGGGGCTCTTCTATTTCGTGAACGTCCATGAACAAGAATTGATCAAAATTTCCGCCTTTCCCATTTCTACAGGAGTATCCTTGGAACTGAGTATAGGCCTCCGTCCTGTTAGAGCTAGAGATGCAGAATCCCAGTGTGACACTGAAGGCTTTGTAGTTGAAGTAGAGGGCACCCATACCACATTTCTCAACTGCTTTTTCGCGAGTGATGGCACTGTCAGAGAGGTCTGGGGTGAGGTTTTCCAATAGTTTCAATTCTGTTGTTACAGCTGGGATTGCGTAGCAACCCAAACTTTTTAAACCTAGAAAGAGAGAAAAAGAAAAAAATTAGTGTCTTATTTCAATGAGTAATGGTTTGGACTTGATCCATTAGGAAATATATGTGTACAATTGATTGCATGTGTACATGTACATGCTCTTTGTAAAACTTCCAAAAATTCCAATTTTATTGCAAACTTTATACATAAACAAGAAAATGTATCAGAAAATGTACGGACTATGATATAGTACATGGTTTTTTTTCAAACTTTTGCATATGCTACCTACCTCTTAGTGGATTGGGACAATCTTGCCTATTACAATCTTCAGTTTCAGTTTGGCACTGGCTCGGATCAGAGTGACCGCAATTCCTTGATCTGGTTCTTTGGCCAGTTCTACAAGTAGCCGAACAAGATGTCCATTCACCCCAAGCAGCACCATTATTAGGATCAGCTAATGAGAGAGAGAGGGAGAGAAAGAGAGAGGAAGTCAGGTCAAACAACATCTAGGAGTGTTTATTCTATTAGTATATTCTACTAAGACTTCTTAAGGAAATGCCAACTTTATTTAATTTAACATACACTTGGCATTATGCCCATTTACAACAGGAGATAAATTAATTTTTGAATACATTAATATAGCCACATACACAATCATTTGCTTCTATACTTATGTTCACAAAGTGTGTCTGTGTTACATGCCCCGTACTGTACATTAACTCCTTGACAGGAGTCACCATTCAGACAGACAGCGCCTGGTCCTTGATCTAATGCCACCACGACAGGTTAATTGTCTTAACATTATCAGAAGGAGTTTGGTGAATTAAACTATATAACTAAAACTAAAATTATTACAATTGCACTACTAAAATTAAAGATAAAACTTAAAATTGAAAAAAATAGTAATAAAAGCCTAAAACTCAAACTATTGTACCATACTAAAACAACACTAAACATTAGTCAGTCTTTTCATAACAGTATTAAAGTATCTTGACATTATCTTTTCGGTCAGTTGTTTCTCTTTTCTAGCATAATCTGGTGTCCTATAGTGATGCATTAGTCCAATATGTTCTGATACTTGATACCTCTTGT